TCACTGCTCCTTAGAGCATGCACCCGGTTCTACCCGGATCCAAAAAACGGGTATACCCGGTTCCTTATTAGCTAAAAGAACCGGGTCCAAAATTTTGATACCCGGTTCTACCCGGTTCTTATTCAATGGGATAAATTTAAACATTTTTTTTTTAATTTGACTCTTATGTTACGGTTCATCACTAAAAAATTTAAATACAAGATTTGACCATGAAGAGCAACTAAACAGAGAACTAGAGATAGTTATGACAGGGATGAACGGTGATAGTGCTGTTTTAGACGACAGTCTCAAGGTTACCATTAAATTTGAAATGGCTGTTTTTGAAAATGGATCAAGAGGTCACCATCTCACAGCAGCTTTTGATAATTTAAAGACGATTCCACCCACAAGTGTCGAGCTAGAACGCATATTTTCTTCGTCAGGACTTATCTGCAATCGTCTTCGGTCCTCATGAAACGATAGAAGCTTAAACGATCTCTCATTTTTACGCTCTTATTACGAAAATCAGAAATACTGGAAGTGTTGATTGTGACTAATTATTTTTATTTGTTTGATTTTATAAGAAAGAGAGACAGTTATAAAGTGTTGATTATTTTTATTATTACCAGATAATCCCGAGACTGTGAGAAAATTAATCTCGTTGATTTTGTTTCTTTTATCTTAATTCGTTCGTTAATTCTTTGCATAGTTTTTCTAAATTTATTTGTATAAAGCTTAAAAGACAAGCTAGTTTTTTTGTTGTTTCATATATAGATGATTTTATAATAATTAGAATTGAAACACATTTAATTGATTAAATACACATCACTATCATCATTAGCACCAAATTAATGTAGTTTTATTTTGCCCTAAGGAATTTTTTACTATTAAGAACCGAAAAGAACCGGATACCCGGTTCTGTACGGATCCGGAACCGAAAAAACCCGGTTCTTAGATACGGGCCGGTTCTGCATCCTCTACTGCTCCTGGTTCAGTTTTCCCGGAATAATGTTACAAAGACTATTTTTGGGGGTTCAGGTGTAAGGGGCGGTATTTTCGTCTCTGGAGACTCCAGGCAGCCGTCTTTTTTAAAACATTTTTTTTTTGTATAGTAGTTCTGTGACGACACTAAAACATAACATTTTTATGTAGTCATCAAACCGGTTAAAACACAACATCCTTAACAAGAAACAAAAAAGAATAGCAGCAAATATAATGCTGTATTCAATACCCGAATATAATCTTGTTATCTACGCCCCTCGCGAAACAAGGCGCTTTACCGGAAGTGCTTTTTGACAGCGTCGCTTGTCACACTCTAACAGGTGCGTTATGCAATTGATCCTAAGTAGTTTTATGATTGGCCATTAGATCTAGGGTTGCCAACCATGCTCTTATACTTTGAAGCAAAAAATGTTTTTCCAAATAAAACAATAATAAAATATTATCTTTTTTCGTCCGCATTCATCTACCAAAGTATAACAGTGGTCTTTGGGCAAGCAATTTAACTATCAAAAAATCACTTTGAACACAGTTTTTTTGGTTTTATTTCGAAAAATTTGTGTGGTAAGGGAAAATAGTTAGAATAAAAACTGAAGATCTCTTAATTTAACGTAAAAAGGTTTTATTGTAAAATCGTACACTATAAAAATTTTGATTAAAACTACTTTAACGGATTTTATGGCATTTAATTTCAATTGATTTTTAATTCCCGACGTTTCGGGTGCTTTTTAGCACCCATGGGTCACGGAGGCATGGAAAGCGCCCGAAACGTCGTTAAATAAAATTAAACGCGATAAAATCCGTAAAAGTAGTTTTAATCAATGTGTAGTGTTCGCGTAAATATAAGAAATCATTATGTAAAGTTTTGTTCCAAACTATTTTTTCTATTTCTTAAAATAATTTCTAAAATAATGTTTAAAACATTTTTATTTTATCAGTTAATTGATTTCACAATAAAAAAAACCTTACCATACCTCATCTTACCAATTATTAAATACCTTAAATTTATAGGACCCAATAGACTAAGATACGTATTGAAATTTGTTGATTGCTTATGATGATGACAAATGTGCCACATTTAAATCCCCTGATCGTCGTAAGTGAATGTCGTAATTCCGTAATTAGTCGAGGACTACAAGAATTTATCGGTTTACTTCTAAGACGACTTTTAAGTTTATTGTTCCTTCCGCACAATAAATTAATAAAAACAAAAAAATGCGCTTGAATAATTTTTACTCCAAAAATATGACAGAAATGTACGCAATACTCTTTCAAAATAGGACTGAAATTTTCTAAACAACACTGATCCTATCTTAAGAAAAGGTTAATCTTCTTAAAGCGGCCACTAACAGATTTTAATTTAATTTTGCCAACGAACAATAGTCTTCGTAACACTGTTTATGAAAGATGAGATGTATAATAATTCGATACAATGTTACTATTTTTAGATCTAAAAGATCTAAAAATAGTAACAGGTTCAGCAACGCAAATATATATATATATATATATATATATATATATATATATATATATATATAATAAATAGATAAATGCTCCACTTTACTCGGATGAAAACAGTAAGTTTTCATGGACATTTTATACGTGGTAGAGCCATGTTGCAGCCATATTATGGTTGTAGCACGAATGAGTCGGCTCGACCGGGGCAGGACCACGTTCTCACATAACACCAGTGTAAAATAGCAGTTCAATGCTGCTATGTTTCGTATGGTGAGTATAGAGATATCTATGGGTCAAAGCATCCCCTTACTATCAAGTGTGTTATAAAAAAAAGAATAACTGCTTTGTAATGACACGTCTTTGACCGTTCCTATTGTGTTTTGAGGTGTTTTAAAAAACATTTCTTGTAAAACACTTTTCTTTTGCTGTATTAAATGTCGAAGAAAAGTTTTTAAGCTTCCAATTTGTCTGAGCGCTGGAAATCGAGTGCGTTTTTGTTATGACATGGGATGACGTGCGTCGCTTGCAGTCCAACGTTATCGCCTTTATATTGTTAACTATGCACTCCAATCGGTAAAAAGTTAAAGTTTCAGCCTATACACGTAACACTGCTAAGTACAGGTCTCCTATCATTGCCGAGAGGGTTTTAGGGCAAGGAAATGTTCGCCGCGCTGCCCCAATGCGTGTTGTCGAATTTCACATATAAATTAGAAAAAAGGCGAATTTATTTAAATAACGAAAAGTGTTCCTGTTAATCTTCATTTAATTAAAAGCTTACAGTTGAAGCGGCTCCCTAATAACAAACATCTTCACAAACTTTCACATAATATTAGTATTAATTGCTTTCATTTGTATAAAAAAAGTGACCGCGTAGTGGCGGTGTAAGAATATCCACTAGCCCAGAAAACCCCGTGGGTATTTTAAGAGGGAAACAAAAGAGGAGATGATCTTATTTCGTTGTAGAGGCCATGCTGCAGTTATATTAGTAGTATATTTGTAGGACGAATGGGTCGGCTTGACGGGGAAAGACAACGCTCTCCCAGAATACCAACGGAAAATAGCAGCTTAATGCTGCTGTGTTTCGTATGATGAGTCTAGAGAACCGGAGACCCTTTTTACTGGAAACTAGGTATTCCACCTAATCTCACGGATGACAACGCATCTGAATTTCGATTCGTAGTCGAGAATAAATGCCTATGAGCCACAGCAACCACTTACCATCAGGTGGACTGTGTGCTCGTTTGTCATTCTATCATAAATAACAACATAAACTCTCACGCCTGTCGCCCAGAGGGGTAGGCAGAGACTACAGACTTCCATTTGGCACGATCCTGACACACCTCTCTCGCCTCTTTCACGTCCATACACCTACGCATACATGCTCGTCGGTTAAGGGTACTCCTAGTTTGGCCCGTTTTCAATAAATCGTTAATTTGGTCGATAAATAAACACTCTTCTCTTATCACACAATTTCTCACCATGTCATTCAAATTCACCCCTAACATACTCCTTAACGACCGCATTTCTACTGCGTTCATTCTACTCTCGTGCTTCTTCTGCCACACCCAACTTTCACTACCATACGTTAAAGTAGGGACCAACACAGCATTCTGAATTGCCATACGTGCCTTTCTGACACAATTTGACTCTTCACAATAGAGAGATTCTTCATTCTATCCTATAAAAAAAAGATGGGCAGCAGTGTCTTAGGAAGAAAACTAGGAATAAGGAATAAAAATAAATAAAACTGCGGTTGCAAGCCCGCTTGCAAGCGTGGCAAAATTGGCGAGGCAATCTATGGGGTAGGCCTATGTTCAGCAGTGGAACTTAATAGGTTATAATGGTAAAATAAGTGGTTAAAACTAATACATAATATACTTAAGGCGAGCTCATCTCCGGGGCCGAGTCAACTGCGTCATTTAATTAACCGTGCTATAATTCAATTGTACGTAATATGAACCTAATTAAACCTTCCTACTCGGACGGCCTTCTGGTCAGAATGGCAGCACTACCACTTAATAGTTTCCTTTTATAGAATAAGGGTGATATGATTTAGTGGCGGTGTAAGATAAACCTCTGCCCCATATTGTCCCGAAGTGTCGTAAGAGGATCTTTCTGATAAAAACTCAAAATTTTGAAAAACTGTGCTTTTTTATAAAGCGTTGGGTGACAAACGAGCACACAGCCCACCTGATGGTAAGTAGATGGTGTGCCTCATAGACATCTACATCAATGCTCGATTAAGAATAAAAATGCAGAATGCGTTGTCACCACTGAGAACTAGATGGAATGCATCGTATTCAGTAAAAAGGGTTTTCGGTTCTCTACACTCACCATACAGAACACAGCAACAATTATGGGAAATATCCCCACAATGAGGCAAACTATGTGGAATACCTATGTTCAGCAATGGACTTTAATAGGCTGACTCTTGCCAATTGTGACGATGAAGACCAATCTCAAAAAGACGAGTAAATTAACGATTTAACCTAAGAAGAATTATAATTGCCGTCTTCAGTAAAGTACCAGGGCAACATAAGTTCCAGGTAGTAAAGAAATATTACCTGAAAGGCGAACACCACGTAACCCGTTAGGTGGGACTCGTGCAGTACGTCGTGTATCGAGCGCAACGTGGAGCCCAGGTACACGTTTATAACCTGCGCCGGTAGAAGACCCAGCAGCGTTGCTAAATGGTATCCACAGCCACCCACGTCGCTTACCTAGAACAAGAGAAGTTAGTTTTCCTTTTTTTATAAAAATCAAGTAAGCTTTGTATTTCTTTTTTTTTTCAGGCCGTAATATTGCACTACTGAATATGACACTCTCTTACTAAAGAAAAGATTTTGAAGGCCACGTTTGACAGATGTATAGGCGATTGCAGCACTATAGTTTATAAAAGATAGTTTGATCTCTACGACAGCTGTCAGTAAAAGCACGCCTATGAAGTCCTGAATTTCTTAGTAGTACAGACAGTACCTGTCAATGTCATACTTTATGGGCATGCCGACCTAATTAGTGCATGCCCATAAAGTATGACATTGACAGGTACTGTCTGTACTGCTAAGAAATTCAGGACTTCATAGGCGTGATTTTTACTGACAGCTGTCGCAGAGATCAAGCTATCTTTTATGAACCATAGGTGTCTCGCACCTTTAAAGCCCGCTTTAAAAGTCTGAGCTCTTAAAAGCAAAAGACTTACTTTTTTTATAAAATTGATGTGGCAAATTAACTTACATTCCACTTAGGTTAGTGACTACTGCAGCCCATAGGCAAGATTTTTTTTTTGAAGGAGAGGGGCAAACGAGCATACGGCCTGATGTTAAGTGACTACCGCCACCCATGAACAACTGCAACACTATGGAATTGCAGGTGCGTTGCCGGCCTTTTAGAAAGGAGTAAGCTCTTTTCTAGAAGGTCCCTAGTCGTATCGGTCCGGAAATATCGCCGGTGGTAAACTATTCCACAGAGACGTCGTACGCGGAAGATAACTCCTAGTGAAACGTTCAGTGGTGGACCGCCAAGCATCCAGATGGTGTGGATGATATCGGGAGTTTTGCCGCGATGTGCATTTATGAAATTTGGCGGCTGGGATTAATCCGAACAATTCCTCAGAGCACTTCCCGTGATAGATGCGACGAGGGTTGCAGATGCGCTATCGTCTCTGAGGACTAAGTTGGACTGCCTCACAGCCCTTATTTATACTGTCTGACTATATCGTCCAGATAGAAACACAGCAGAAACATAGCAGTGCGTACACTAGCGTTTGGCGTAGTTAAGAGAGTGGTTCCTACCCGGATGGACTCCAAGGCAGGAAATGAGGCCAACGATCTAGTAAAACGATGATGAAAATTATATACAAGAAGCCGTGTGATGTTTAAAGCAAATTCCATTTTCAAAAAGGTCCATAACCCGTAGTGGACTAATGTGCTAATTAATATGGAGAAAAATACAGAATATAAAATTATAAAAGGAAAAATCCCAGAAATAATTATAACCAACCTTGACTGTAAAGGCCAAGGTTATTAGCGTAATACACTTAATCTTAATAAATTAAAATATTACATATTTGTTACGTACGTTATATAATTTGAGTTGTTATTAGTATCAGTATAATTTACTTACTTGATAACCAAAAATTTTCATTATTAAAATTATGAAAATGTTCCGGTATTTCTCAAAAATACCAATGCCTAATTTAAATCTTTAAATAATTATCTTAAAGTAATTACATACATATGTAATAGTATTATAAAAAGCAATTCAAGCCTGAGAAATGTATTTTTTGATTATCATTGTTTCATTGTGCAAGCACAGTGAACATTAATTTGCGTTATCAAGAATAATTATACTATAGTCGATTAAAATATGGCGCTAATCCATTTAATTTTCATAATTATCATCAAACAAGTTGATCGAGGGGAAAATGGAACAACGTGACGCAATAACATGAAACAGAGCGATAACGATCTCAACAAAGATGAATGATCAGTATATTGAATAAATTATTTTGTGGTATATATAGTACATTCACATCTGGTTGAGTTGAATAAATATATAACAGGAAACGATGAATATACATAAATATATATTTCATATACTAACATAAATAATAGTAATACATAAATAAATAAAAGCCCAACCAGATGGAGGCCTTCGGCAGGGGAGATAAAATAGCCGAGGGTTAGGGGGAAAGGGAAAGAAACCGGCGGATGCGGACGGTATCGAGGAGCACCGCCTTCTGCATTTGAGCCCGGAGCGGTCCGTCACGGAGTCCCAGTTGCCTCAGATGACCCGAGGGGCTGACTGGGATTAGCCCGTTTGCAGAAACGACTACAGAAATAATTTCGGTCGGCAGACCACCCCACATGTCGGTCACCTCGTGAGTCAGGTCCAAATATTTTATATACTTATCTGTTTCGGCTTTCACGAGATTCTCGCCATAGGGAATGGTAATGTCAACCAAAAATATCCTTGACTGTGCCCGGTCCATCAGCACAATATCAGACTTATTCGCAAGAATAGTCATGTCTGTGATGATGGCCCGGTCCCAGTAGAGCCTGGTGCGATCATTTTCGAGCACGGCTTCTGGCAAGTACTTGTAATACGGCAATTTCCGGTACACGAAACCGTATTTCAGAGCGAGCTCCTGGTGAAGAATTCTGGCTACTAGGTTGGGCCTGTGCAAATGATGTGGCGGCGCTTTCGTCGCGCCACAAGCGAAACACCGAAGCCTAAATCACGCTATCAACATTCAGAATCATAAAACAGTATATATAGAACAGCTCCGAATTATCACACGGAGTGTTGGCCGCTCCCCGGGCAGAACACCTTGCCCGGCGGGAGATCTCCCATTTTCCTTGCACGGCCACAACGTCTATATAGAATGGCTCATCCGATCACGCCAGGAAGTAATTACGGAGGCTGCACACTTCGCGATTATGCATGGTGAGCGCGCCCAAAAGCCACGCCTACCATACTTTCGCGGCAAGCAGAGCCACATTACCGACGATCTCAGATGATGCATTTTATTGGACGTCATAGTAGTGCGGACTTTTCTATCCAGGGCGTTAAGATCAGTCTGAGCCCACCTGAGTATGCCAAAGGTATACATGAGGGCAGACATGACCCAACCGTTATATGCGTGTATCTTATTTACACCAGACAAAAAGTTGTTAAGCACTTTGGTCAAGCGTGCATAAAACACGTCGCAAACTGACTGCTTCATACCAGCCTCATCGATACCGATGTTCTGTGACATACTCAGGTATCGGTATGTTTCAGTCTGGGAAAGGGTCTTTAAGTTGACGGACATAGATAAATCTATGCTCTCAAAGTTAGTAACCCTCCCCCTTTCAAGATGGAGGACCGCACACTTATCCGTTCTCAGTTCTATTCTAATAGAATTGCTAAAATCACAAGTGATGTTTAGCAATTCCACAAGATGTCCACTGGAGTCGAATAACTTGAGGTCATCCATATAGAAAAGGTACTTTGTACCTCCTTTGAAGCTGAAATCCCCTACGGGAGCCCTCCAGTAAAGTATTGAGAGGGTTTAAAGAGAGGCAGAACCAGATTGGACCCAGACAATAGCCCTGGCAGATAAGATACCCCTAATTATCCTTATGTGGCTTTCCGCAGCCGTCAACCGCTCGCCCAGACAAAGGATCGTACTTCTTTGCCCCATAAACTGCTCTCTGGAAGTCTCTAATTGTACAGTCAATCTTGTACAGCTCGAGGACCCTCTTTAGCCACGTGTGGGGCACCGAGTCGTATGCCTTTCTGTAGTCTATTCAGGCAGCGGAGAAGTTCCGACGGTTGTGTTTCACCACTTTGCCAATGACCGCGTCAATGAGTAGTGGTTCCTTGGTTCCACGACCACCATATTACCTGATTTAAGTCCAGGTGACGAGTGATTCTCGCGCTCAAAATGGATGTTAGTGTCTTGTATATGGTCGGTAGACACGTGATAGGGCGGTATTTGCTCGGGTCTGTGGTACCCTGGTCTTCACGAACCAAATGAGTGATCCCAGTAGTGAAAAGGCTCGGGAGCGACTTCTGGTCGAGAGCTTCTTGAAACTGTCTGGTGAGCACAGTGTGACACACTACGAACTCCTTCAGCTAGTAGTGATGCAACTTTTCCAGTTCGGGGCCCTACAGACTGCCTCAGCTACGTCATCCGGCGTTATAATGACGGGGTCCATGGGCGTAATACTCGCACAAACACTCGCCACAACTTCCGTCCAAGGGCCCTCGCTGTGGTTTACGGGCTCTGACTACAGGCCGTGTCAGAATGCTACAGTGTCAGCCTGATTCGGTGCTGGGCCCGTTTCACTTACCATTGGTCGCTCCAATGATTCATAGAGCCTCTTCTGATCACTCTGGAAGAGACGGTTCTGGTTGAACCGAGGTAACCTCTCGGTATATCACCGAATCCGCTTTCCCAAAGCAGCGATTCTCTGCTTCGGATCATCTATGAGCTCCGTCAGTTATGGCATTTTATCTGACTGGGAAAAACTGACATTTGTCCCAGCAAACGCCATCTGCGCACAATCCTTGGCCTGTTATTGCCTGACCTGAAGCATATCAGTCTGCCGATGAGAGCTCTAGCCTTTGCGATACGCTCCTCAATTCTTCTTCTCCAGGCTGGGATAGCGCTACTTTTCCAGTAGCGCGTCCAGCCGTAGAAACCTTGGCGCCCATAATACGGCAGACCACCAGTACGGCACCAAGAAGAATTGAGTCCGTCTCGCAAAGGTCCCGGCTGGCTTCCAAATGCGTCACCAGTATTGGGTTCAGAGCCTTCATGACAGCCCGATTCCGCTTGCTTAGGGCTATGCGGGGAAGTCGCGGTCGATTTTCGAGAGACGTACTGCGCGTATCCACAATCGCCTCTTCCAATGTACTCCTCATTTGCTCTATTTCTAGTTTTTTTTTTATAGGATAGGGTGACAAACGAGCACACAGTCCACCTGATGGTAAATGGTTGCTGTGGCCCATAGATATCTACATCTATCCTCGATTACGAATCAAAATGCAGATGTGTTGTCACCCGTGAGGACTAAGATGGAATGCCTCGTTTCCAGTAAAAAGGGTCTCCGGTTCTCTACACTCATCATACGAAATACAGCAGCATTAAGCTACTATTTCACGCTGGTATTCTGTGAGAGCGTGGTCCTTCCCCGGTCGAGCCGACCCATTCGTGCTACAACTATACTACTAATATAACTGCAGCATGGCTTTACCACGTATAAAAGTTCCTGGGCGAACGTTCCATCACCATTTGAATCAGCCACCACTGGGGTATTTACGGCGGCATCCACGTGTGCGGGTTGTTCTACAACTTGTGGCACCGCATACTCAGCCGTAGCATTTCCATCTAATGAGGGAACAGCCTCACGTCATAGCCGGTCGAGTTTTCGGCGCCATCAAATATATTTGAGCGCAAGATATACCAAACTGGGTCTACCAGGTTTTGCTCGGTGACGGTAATAGATGGCTCCAGCTCAGCAAAAAGACGATGCACCCTAGCCCGATACGGGAAACCTCCAACTTCTCCCTCTTTCGCCCTAAAATAGTCCCGCAATGCGTTTATATTCATATTGATGGTACATGCATCTCCACCAGTGGCGGGTGTCGATTGCTTGGCCTGGGAAGACCCTGCCGACACCAAGCAAGCTAGTGGGGATGATGAATGCGAGGAGCTGCTGGGTGGTCGTGCAGGGCCTCGCACTCGGCTGGCGGTTCGCATGTTGTCGAGTCCAGCGCCAGCTCCAGATCCAGACGCGCCCAGGCGTCCTCCAGGCAGCGGCCCTTTGCGCGTTCTTTTGTATTCCATCATCCGAATAAATTATTATTATTATTATTACTTAACAGGATAGCAGTTGAAATAACTGATGTTAGCCCGTATCCTATTTTTAAATATGGAATTATTCTATTTAAACATACTTTTATTATACATCACTAGGGAAATGGCTATGCTATTTTCAAATGTGGAATTATTCTATTAAACATACATTTATTATACACCACTAGGGAAATGGCTATGCTCGGAATTTCTCTGCGGGATAAAGTCTGTAACGAAAATATCCGCCGAAGATCAAGAACAAGTGACATAGTTCAACAAGTGTTAATGCGCCTGCCATATAGCTCGAAACCGACAACCGATAGGAAAAGAAAGGTTCTAGTGGCAGCCTTGTGCTGGCAAGCGCAGTATTCGACGAGCCGTCATTAGTTGAAGGGAGTTCCTGATGAAACATGCAAGCGGTCTTGATGCGAGTGGCTCAGGACTTTGTGGCAATCTATGGGAGAGACCTATGTTTAGCAGTGCACTTGTGATGATGATGATGATAGCCTATAGTAGGAGTACACCACAAAACAAAAAAGAAAACAGGAAACATTAAAAAATATTTTTATTTTAAAGTTTGTTAAAGTCACAAACATCTATCATGCAACCACAACAGTCCACAGCTGGACATAACTTGGAGGAATTTTAAGTAATCGTCACGTATGCAATTGGTATGCGGATTGGCGATCGTTATAACAGTGGCCTCGTTGTAAACTTTGGCTTCAAAGACATTAAATTATTTATAGGGAATAGACCGGTCATTGACCAACATTTTAATACAAAATACGTGGTACGTTTTTAATAAAAGTTCTAGCGTGTTAAGAAATAAACCTACTCACCTAATAGAAAAATGAAATTTCATTCTAATTACATCTTAATGCTGAGCACAGAACAGACTTCCCCAAATTTATGTGAGCAATTAATCCGCCGTGCAGCTCCAGTAGGTGGAATTCACGTCATCGAAATATTTTCTTTCGTCGTCGAACAAGTCGCAGTCGCAGTAAATCAGGTAAATGACTGTGTGTGTTTTAGTAACTTTCCACCTATGTACTGACCAATCACGATATCTCTGGAACCATAAGGCCTAGAGACTTGAAATTTGGTAGGAATATTTCTTTCGGAGAGTATTTACTCTCAGAAAGGAATACTCCTACCAAATTTTGAAATTCCACCCGCATGGGCGGTTGCGGGGGTGTTTATTAAAGAAAATAAAATTTTCAAACTATAGAAATTGGTCAGAATATTTTTTTGGCATGTTAAAAATTACCATGAACCGATTTTATGAAATTTCACTCACAACGGGCAGTGTGGGGGCGTTCAAAATTAAACTTTTAATCTATAGCTCCTACAGATTTAAAATTTGGCAAAATATTTTTTTTCACATTAAGTTCAACTGAGAAAAAGTTTTATGAATTTTTTTTTGAATTTGCCCCGGTAGTTGTTGCTGTTGTCGAGATCCAAAATACACCCGGGCAAAGCCGGTAAAATATAAAAGATTTGTTTCTCCCACAACATTAACGTCCAAGCTCTGTTCAGAGTGCAACCGCGACACAAACTTGAACCACAGTATACTGTTCTGATAGTCAATCTTAATACATAATTGAATGTTTAACTTTTCCAATAAAAAGGCAAGACTTTAAAAAAAATCTTTAAGGTGTCAATAGCGCACATACTAATAAAATCTATCGAAATATAGATCATATCCACCCTACTTTACGAGCGCATCATTTTAGATTTTAGTAGGCATCTTCGATCTTGTCACTTGGCAGGGTCACCGGCTAGGGTGGATATGATTTGAATTTCGATAGATTTTATTATATTTAATTCAAAATTTTTGTTTTTAGTTTTTATAAAATATTAGTGTCATAGGCTTCTGTTCCGTTCACATGTTACACTTTATTATTTCCAAACGGTCAAAAAGGTCATGATTAAAACTACTTTTACGGATTTTATCGCGTTTATTTTTTCTTACTTTTTATTTTTATTTTTAATTCCCGACGTTTCGGGCGCTTTCCACCACCCATGGTCACGGAGGACTGAGATGACTGACGTCCCGATGTCATTGTTAAACCCGGAGTACCTTCAGCTTTTTTAATTGTTGTTTATGGTCCGATCTATGCAAAATGAACTGACTATGTCCTGAGGTCTTGCAGTGGTATGCTTGGGTTTAGTTTTAATTTTATTGATTATAGGATCCCAAGCAGGTGGTAGTACCCAGCCTCCTTCTCTATTGAAATTAGGATGTTTTTTAATTTCAATAGCCTCACGTATCATCCTTGGTAGGAATCGGTGTTCTTTCGCGAGGATTTGTGGTCTATCAAATCTGATGTAATGATGTAAGGATGATAGACCACAAATCCTCGCGAAAGAACACCGAAACGTCGGGAATTAAAAAATAAAAATAAAAAGTAAGGAAAAAATAAACGCGATAAAATCCGTAAAAGTAGTTTTAATCATGTGCAATGTTCGCGTAAATATAAGAAATCATTAGGTCAAAAAAGGTCATCCAGTATTAACAAACTTTTTAAGTTCACTAAGAAATAAAGTGACATGAGATTTTTAAAAATGCGCAAAATAATGCTTACAGCAGTAGAAAGGTGACTTTATAAACAAAGGATCCATACCCTTGCACTAACAATACTGCTTCCTGTCACCAGTCTATGAAATCAATACTCCGTGTCCTTGGAAAGATTTTCTGTCATCAGCCGGTCACCAGTTTCGTTCGTCAAGGCGAATTGCGTGCAGGTGAGATCGGCACCAAACATCTTACATTTCAAAACCGCGCATGTTCGGCAGTCGACTTATGAAGGGCTGTAATGACGATGATGATGATCATCATCATCATCCATCATAATTTAGCGAGAGACGAGGATATGGTGAAAGTAAATAGGATATAATAGCATTTTACTAGGTAATTAAATAGAATAGAATAGTTTCAAGCAGTTTCAATTAAAATGGAGAGCAAATGTATAATTAATGGTTATCCTGTTCATGTAAGCTTAAATTCGTTACGAAAGCACCGAAGGCGAATTTAATTTCACACTCACAATATTATCACGTAACCGCGTAGTGGGGCAGTGTGGGTGTCGTAAGGGGCGACAGAGGAAATCTGAACCAGATAATGGCCAGCAGCCTCTTATTGATAACAGGTGAATAACAAACTGCGATTTCTAAGCGTGGCCACTATGGCAAATATCCCCCCTATGAGGGAGGCCCATGTTCAACAGTGGACTTTTGATAGTCTGCAATGGATCGATAGATGGAATTGGAAACACTACCTCAAATTTGGACTGAAATATCAAAGCAGAAGAATTCAAAGCACGTCATAATACGCACAGCAAACATAAAAACAAACAGTCACGAATCGACGCTTCGAGAAGTCTGCAGTCTGTGAACACGTCGTACAGGATCGCCCTACATCAGATTTGATAGACCTCAAATCCTAGGATGATTCGATAAGGCTATTGAAATTAAAAAACTTCCTAATTTCAGTAGAGAAGATGTCTGGTTGCTACCATCTGCTTGGGATCCTATAATTAATAAAATTAAATCCCAACCCAAACATACAACTGCAAGACTTCAAGATACCATAAGTTCATACTTCATACTGTGTAGATCGGAACAAAAAAAAATAATAACTATAATCTGTGGGTAACCGCGGGTTAACTGTGACATAGGGACGTCGAACGGTCGAACACTTCAGCCCCCCCCCCCCCCCCGTGACCATGGGTGTTGTAAAGTGCTCGAAACGTCGGGTATATAAAAAAGTTAATATACGCGTTATACCGTAAAAACTAGTATTATTCAAAGAAATAGTCCGTTGGAGCAATAAACGATTGAAGGCACCCATAGTAGATATATTTAGAAGCGTTTTGTCAACACTGTACAAGTGTAGAAATATTAACCACGTTCCATGTAAGCGAGAGGACGGACAGTTTACCGAGTGTAATGCCCGGCTACAACTCCGTCTATATATATTCGATTTCTTATAAAACTGTAATAATTTAAGTAATCACAAGTTGTTTCCAAGTCCCAAGTTTAATAAGTATAAAATTATTTGTATTGAACATCATGACAAAGAATATTTTGGCATATTTAAACATAAATCAGAACGGAAACACCGGAAGCGAAAAATAAAATAAAATCATTCACTGGCTTTCAGTGGTTACTTTGCGTGATATAAATCAAAGTCGCTTATAATATAGCCGTTATTACATAGGCTGCACTAAAAATATCGGGAATGGAATATTTCCACTGTTCCTGTCATATTACAATCTTTTTAATTGAAAACTCCTTGGTTTTAAAAATCGAATACCATTTATTTATTTAAAAAAAAGATTCTCGGTCTTGTCACAAGGTTTTGTCAAACTTGTTTAGTCGTTGAGAAAATGGAATTGACTCGAGAAAATTCAATAGTGATGATTTATTACGACTTTCGAAGTGGTTTAACACAAAAACAGTGTGCTGACCGGATGATTTCTGCATTTGGTGATGAAGCCTCGTCCAAAACCACAATTTATCGCTGGTTTGCTGAATTTCAACGTGGACGTGTCAAGCTCAGTGATGATCCCCGTCAAGGTCGTCCAAAAACTGCAGTCACCCAAGAAAACGTCGATGCTGTGCGTAAGTTGATTGAGGAAGATCGACATGTGACATACCGCGAAATTCAGGCAACTTTAGACATTGGCATGAGTCAAATACAAATAATCTTGCATGAACAATTAGGTGTAAAAAGTTGTTTTCCCGATGGATACCGCATTCGCTCTGTGAAGAGCAAAAAGCGTCTCGCGTTACTTGGTGCGTCAGAACTCTCGAAAGATTCCACGCAGGATCCTTAAAAAGAATTAAAGCCAACAAAAATTGTTCATTCACGGAGTGTTGCAAAAAAAAATGGTGGCCAAGTTTGTCTCCAAAACCGGCCATGTTACGACTATTCCTCTTGAGGGACAAAGAACGGTTAATGCAGAATGTTATGCTAGCATTTGTTTGCC